AACCATTTATTGTGGTTAGTCAAGTGATAAAAATTGTACTGAAAGTATATAGTTGGAGAGAAACACTCAGATTTTTCAAGAAAAGGAAACACACATTTCAGAAATTTTCTAAATAGCTGCACATTTATAATGGAATAAATAAAATTATTTATTTAATTCAATCCCCATGTCTTTATGGATATATTCCTTTTGAAAATCATATGAACGGAAATAAGTGTCATTTTTCTAAGAAAGGTGTGTTGTCATCTGGCATCAGCAAAATCAAAGAGAGCACTATGATACCACTAAAAATCTTGTTCCTTGTCTTGTAGTCTTTGAAGCCGTGATTACTGCAAGTTTACTTCAGATTTACATCCAAGCGAATAATCTCCTTTCCACGTGTCTGTTTACCCAGTGGTCTCAGAATCAAATTAAGCTATTTCGGTGGAGGAGGAAAGGAATCCATTTGCATAGCGAGATTAACTCCTTTTCCAAGAGTAGGCCCGGTTCACACTATAATAAAAACAAGTACTAAAAACAAATGAAGAAAATAGGCTAGATCCCAAATCAAAAGTTAATATTAATGCAAAAGTAGGGAACAAAGATACAATTGCAAAATAATTGTCAACACAACATAGAATGGAAACGAGTGGTCACCACTTGCATCACACACGCATGTCACACTGCTGCTACCTGCCACAAACCAGAGATAAGCTCGTGGAAGAACTGATACTTTGAATCAAACCAGGGGTGGAGGTGGGGTGAAAGTCTAGAGAAGGCTGGATGAATAGCTATTCTTTAAGGAACACATAGGAAGGGTGGAGGAGAAGGTGATGGATGAGGAGGAGTGGAACTAGGAATAAAATGTTATATCAAATTATAACAACTCCCTCCTGCAACTCCTTTATAGTCACATCTCCTCCCCCCTACACCCCCAACTCCTGGCAACCACTGATGAATTATCCATCTTTATAAGTTTCTCTATTTCAGAATAACATACAAATAGAATCACACAGTATGTAGCCTTTGGGTCTGGTTTCTTTGACTCAGTATAGTTCCTTGGAGATTCATTCAATTTGTTGCATATATCAATAGTTTGTTCCTTTCTATTGATGAGTAGTATTCCAGGACGTATATGGCTGTACCACTGTTTGTCTAACCGTGAATTTCTTTTAACGACAACTGGGTTGTTTCCAGTGTTTGTCTATTACAAATAAATCTGCTATTCGTGTACAAGATTTTTTGTGAGCATACGTTTTCATTTTTCTTGATAAATGGTCAAGAGTGAAATTGCTGGGTGAAATGATAAGTGTATGTTTAGTTTTATAAGAAACTGTCAGAGTGCTATGCCAACAGCAATGTATCAAAGATTCACTTGCCCCACATGCTCATCACCATTTTGTATTAAAAATATTTTTATTTAGCCATTCTAATTGGCATATAATGGTATCTTACGGTGATTTAAATTTGTCAAATACTTTATATGATTATCAATTCATAACATTATGTGACTTTTCCTTCCTCAATTTGTTAACATAATGGATAAGGGGGAGGAATCAATGGATTAAGGGGAGGAACAATTTCTTTACAAATAGATTTTATTTTTTAGAGCAGTTTTAAGTTCACAGCAAAATTGAGCAGAAAGTACAGAGTTCCCATACACTTCCTCTCCTCTATACTTGCACGCCTCCCCAACTCTCAACATCCCCTGCCAGTTACAATTGATGAACCTACATTGATACATCATTACCACCCAAAGCCCATAGTTTGCATTAGGGTTCACTCTTGGTTTTGTATATGCCATATATTTTGACAAATGTATAATGAAATGTATCCACCATTATTATATAGTATAGTATAGGTGTCATATAGTATGGTATAGCACAGCATAGCATAGCATTGTATATACAGAATACTTTCATTGTCCTAAATATCCTCTGTATTTTGCCTATTTATTGCTCCCTTTCCCCAAACCCTGGCAACCACTGATTTTTTTACTGCCTTTATATAGTTTTGCCTTTTCCAGAATGTCATGTATTTAAAATCATACAGTATATAGCAGACACCTCACCAAAGAAGGTATGCATCTGGCAAGGGAATCACATAAAAAGGTGCTCAACATCATATGTCACTAGAAAATTCCAAATTAAGACAGCAATGACATACCACTATGTGCCTATTGAAATAGTGAAAACCCCAAACGCTGACAACACCAAGTGCTGGTGAGGATGTGGAGCAACAGGAACTCTCATTCGTTGCTGGTGGGCATGCAAAGTGGTGCAGCCACTTTGGAAGACAGTGTAACAGTTTCTTACAAAACTAAACATACCCTTACCAAACAATGCAACAATCATGCTTCTAAGTAGTTACCTAAATGAGTTAAAAATGTGGGCCACACAAAAACCTGTTCATGAATGTTCATAGCAGCTGTATTCAGAATTGCCAGAACTTGGAAGCAACCAAGATATTCTTCAGTAGGTAAGTGGATAAGCAAATTTTATTTAGCACTAAAAGTAAATGAGCTCTCAAGGCATGAAAAGACATGGAACCTCAAATGCACATTACTAAGTGAAAGAAGCCAATCTGAAAAGGCTACATACTCTGTCATTCCAACTGTGTAACATCTGGAAATGGCAAAACTCTGGAGACGGAAAAGATGAGTGGTTGCTACAGGTTTGGGGGATGGGGAAGGGGTGAGTATGTGGAGTGCAGGGGATATTTAGAGCAGTGAAACTGTTATGTGTGCAAAATTGAACAGCCCCTTTGGAATATGGTTTGGAAGTTTATAACAAAGCTAAATAGTCTCACCAACAATTGTGCTCCTAGCCATTTACGCAAATGAGCTGAAAGCAAATGCCCACATAAAAACCTGTACATTAATGTTTACAGCATCTTTATTCATAGTCATCAAAATTAGAAGCAACCGGTGGCTGGCAAGAAGGCTGAATAGGAACAGCTCCGGTCTGCAGCTCTCAGAGATATCAACACAGAAGGTGAGTGATTTCTGCATTTCCAACTGAGGTACCCAGCTCATCTCACTGGGACTGGTTAGAGAGTGAGTGCAGCCCATGGATGGCGAACTGAAGCAGGGTGGGGCGTTGCCTCACCAGGAAGTGCAGGGGGTCAGGGGACTCCCTCCCCTAGTCCAGGGAAGCCATGAGGGACTGTGCTGTAAGGAATGGTGCAACTGGGCCCAGATACTACACTTTTCTCATGGTCTTTGCAACCGGCAGACCAGGAGATTCCTTCCAGAGTCTACACCACCAGGACCTTGGGTTTCAAGCACAAAACTGGGCAGCCACTTGGGCAGATATGGAGCTAGCTGCAGGAGTTTTTTTTCATACTCCAGTGGCACCTGGAATGCCAGTGAGACAGAATTGTTCACTCCCCTGGAAGGGGGACTGAAGCCAGGGAGCCAAGTAGTCTAGCTCAGCAGATCCCACCCCCCAGAGAGCCCAGCAAGCCAAGATCTACTAGCTTGAAATTCTTGCTGCCAGCACAGCAGTCTGAAATTGACCTGGGATGCTTGAGTGTGGTGGGGAGAGGGGTGTCTGCCATTACTGAGTCTTCAATAGGCAGTTTTCCCCTCGCAGTGTAAAGAAAGCTGCCAGGAAGTTCAAACTGGGTGGAGCCCACTGCAGCTCTGCAAAGCCACTGTAGCCAGATAGCCTCTCTAGATTCCTCCTCTCTGGACAGGGCATCTCTGAAAAAGAGGCAGCAGCCCGAGTCAGGGATTTATAGATAAAACTCCCATCTCCCTGGGACAGAGCACCTAGGGGAAGCTGTGGTTGTGGGTGCAGCTTCAGCAGACTTAAACATCTCTGCCTGCCAGCTCTGAAAAGAGCAGTGGATCTCCTAGCACATGTTAGAGCTCCTCACGTGGGTCCCTGACCCCCATGCCTCCTGACTGGGAGACACCTCTGAGCAGGGGTTGACAGACATCTCATTCAGGAGAGCTCCAGCTGGCATCTGGTGGGTGCCCCTCTAGGATGAAGCTTCCAGAGGAAGGAGTAGGCAGCAATCTTTGCTGTTCTGCAGCTCCGCTCCTGACACCCAGGCAAATAGGGTCTGGAGTGGACCTCCAGCAAACTTTAGCAGACCTGCAGCAGAGGGACCTTCTAAAACTAAAGAGCTTCTGCACAGCAAAAGAAACTATCATCAGAGTGAACTAACAACCTACAGAATGGAAGAAAATTTTTGCAATCTATCCATCTGACAAAGGGCTAATATCTAGAATCTACAAAGAACTTCAACAAATTTACAAGAAAAGAACAACCCCATCAAAAAGTGGGTGAGGATATGAACAGACACTTCTCCAAAGAAGACATTTATGCAGCCAACAAAGAGATGAAAAAAAGCTCATCATGACTGGTCAGTAGAGAAATGCAAATCAAAACCACAATGAGACACCATCTCATGCCAATTAAAATGGTGATCGTTAAAAAGTCAGGAAACAGCAGACACTGGAGAAGATGTGGAGAAATAGGAACGTTTTTACACTGTGGGTGTGAGTGTAAATTAGTTCAACCATTGTGGAAGACAGTGTGGCAATTCCTCAAGGATCTAGAGCCAGAAATAGCATTTGACCCAGTGATCCCATCACTGGGTGTATACCCAAAGGATTATAAATCATTCTTCTATAAAAACACATGCACACATATGTTTATTGAAGCACTGTTTATAATAACAAAGACTTGGAACCAACCCAAATGCCCATCAATGATAGACTGGATAAAGAAAACGTAGCACATATACACCATGGAATACTATGCAGCCATAAAAAAGGATGAGTTCATGTCCTTTGCAGGGACGTAGATGAAGCTGGAAACCATCATTCTCAGCAAACTAACACAAGAACAGAAAACCAGACACTGCATGTTCTCACTCATAAGTAGGAGTTGAACAATGAGAACACATGGACACAGGGAGAAGAACATCACACGCCAGAGTCTGTTGGGGGATGGAGGGCTGGGGAGGGATAACATTAGGAGAAATACCTGATGTAGATGACAGGTCGATAGGTGCAGCAAACCACCATGGCACATGTATACCTCTATAACAAACCTGCTCATTCTGTACAGGTATCCCAGAACTTAAACTGTAATTAAAAAAAATTAGAAGCAGCCAATATGCCTTTCAATAAGTGAATGCAGAAACAAACTGTAGCTTATCTGTATAGTGGAATATGATTCGATGACAGAAAGAAATGAACTGTCAAGCCACTAAAGACACAAAGGAATCTTACATGCATATTACTAAGTGAAAAAAGTCAGTCTGGAAAAGCTACATAGTATATGGGCCTAACTATATGACATTAAGGAAAAGGCAAAACTATAGGGATAGTAAAAAATATCAGTGGCTGCCAGAGGTCAGGGTTGGGGAATGGATGAGCAAGTGGAGCACAGGCACTATTAAGATCAGTATAACTATTATGTGTGATATTGTGATGGTGGATACATGACACCATGCATTTGCTAAAACCCATAAAACCGTACAACACTAGGAGTGAACCTTAAACTGTGGACTTTAGTATTAATATATTAATATATATATTAATAATATATCAATATCGATTCTTCGATTGTAACAAATGTACCACATCTTTGCAAGATATTAATAATAGGGTAAAATTTGAGGGGGGAAAGAGAGGCGTTGGGATATACGGGAACTCTGTACTTTATGCTCAATATTTCTGTAAACCTAAAAAACTCTAAAACATAAAATCTATTAATTTTTAAAAATACACTTACCATATGACACAGTAATCCCACTTCTAAGTATTTAGAGAAATGAAAACGTGTTCCCACAAAAAGAACATGTTCCCACAAAAAGTCTGTACATGGATGTATATAGCAGTTATTCATCATAACCTCAAACTAGAAACAGCCCAAATGTCCTTAAATAGGTGAATGGATAAGCAAACTGTGGTATGCCCATAAACTGAAATCTTGGCCATAAAAACAAGCTAACTATAGATGCATGCAACAAGCTGGGTGAATCTCAAACGCATTTTTCTAAGTGAAAGAAGTCAATTCGAAAGGTTACCTATGTTACAATTTCATTCTATGACATTATGGAAAAGATAAAACCAAAAGGAAAGAAAACACATAACTGGTTACCTAGGGTGTCTATAAAGAGGTAGGATGAGGTAATCTTCCGGGTTGAGCAGACTGCTCTGTATTTTGATTGAGATGATATTTACACAACTCTATGCATTTGTCATAACTCAAAGAACTATACACTAAAAAAGAGATTATCTTACTGAATGTAAATAACAAAAATAAACAAAGGGTAACAGATGTCCCTTCTGTAAGTGCCTCATGCATCACAGAAATAGATTGAACATTTTTAGATACTGAAGTTAGAGTGGCCTTGGAAACCTAGGTCTTTGCTTTAAAAATAAAAAGGTTAAAAGATGTTGCATTCTTTTTTTTTTTTAACCAGTTATTTTGATCTTGAAACAAATGAATAATTGCAGAGGCATTCTTTTTCACAGGTAGTCCTATGTGTTAAGGCAGCATGAATTATAATTGTCAGGAAAAACTTCATAGATTTCACTCTAATATCTCTAATATTTTAACAGGACAATCTATAAGACATTTGGAGCTATACCAGTTGAAAGGTATTCAGGTAAGTCCCCTTATTCAGTCTTGTAAATGAGGGAGCCACTTGAAGAAAATTCTATGGCTTATGCTAATACACATGTAGCTGAAAATATAATTACATTTAAAGTCTGTTGAATTTAAATCTAGTACAGAATTTTTTAAAAAGATCATGCTATGATCTGCACATGTACCCCAGAACCTAAAGTACAATAAAAAATATATATTAAAAAAAAAGATAATGCTATCCTTCAGTCAGTCTTGCAGCAATTTTCCAACTCAATGTAGAACTGCCAATATAAAGTGATACCCTCAGGGAAACAAAACACAACACAGACACAACATACACAGGCACAGACAGAATCTCACCGGCACACACAGGCATGTGTACATGTACGCATCCACATACATTCACTTGAACATACATTCATCCACACCCATGCACACACATGTAGTTATGTATAGGCACACACATGAACACACAGTGACAGATTTATGTATGCTCATACACAAAAAAGCACACCCTACAATGCACATTACTTTTGTTTCTCAAAAATTTAGACCATTCAACCTGGGCAACATAGTGAGACCTCATCTCTACAAAAAATTAAAAACTCAACCAGGCATGGTAGCATGCACCTGTAGTCCTATAGCTACTTGGGAGGCTGAGGCAGGAGGATGGCTTCAGCCCAGGAGTTTGAGGTTTTAGTGAGCTATGATCTTGCCACTGCATTCAAACCTGGGCAACAGAGTGAGACCCTGTCTTCTTAAAAACAAAAAAGTTAGTCCATATATTATAATCTATAGTGTAAGAAACCAAAGTGTAAGATCCACAATGAGATAACACTTTCTGTCTACTGGGAGTTGCCTAAATCCCAGCAATTTCACTCCTAAGTATATACCCAAGATAATTGAAAACAGATTCTAGGCAAAAACCTGTACATGAATATTCATAGAAGCACTATTCACAATAGCCAAAAGATGGAAACAACTTAAGTGTGTATCAACTGATGAATGAATAAACAAAATGTGACATATCCATGCAATGAAATGCTATTCAGCCATAAAAGAAGTGAGTTTTAACGCGATAAAGGAGTAAAGTATCAATACATGCTACATGGACGATCCTCAGAAACATTACACTAAGTGAAAGAAGCCAGACACAAAAGGCCACACACTGTATAATTCCATTTATATGAAATGTCCAGAATACACAAATTAATAGAGACAGAAAGCATATTTGTGGTTTCCAGGGCTGGAGAGGAGGAAGAATGGGATGTGACTTCTTAATGAGTACAGAGATTCATTATGGCGTGATGAAAATATTGTGGAATTACAGAGTGGGGAGAGTGCACAGTGTTGTGATGGTAGTAAAAGCCACTGAATTACTAACTTTTAAATGACTTAGAATGGTGAATTTTATCTCAATTAAAAAATAAGTCCAGGTTGACTGTTCTTCTGTTTCAGCACTTGGAAAATGCTGTGTGTCACTTTCCTCTGACCTTTACTGAAGAGAAATCCAGTAAAATTGTTGTGGCTGTATTATAGGTGATGAATTGTTTCCTTCTGACTGCTTTAAAAAATCTTTCTTTGTTCTTGGTTTTCAGAAGTTTGATTATGAGGATCTTGGCATGGATTTCTTTGGCTTTATATTGTTTGAGATTCACCCACTTTATTTTTTAAATAAGCTTTTTATTTTAAAATAGGTTTAGATTTACAGAAGAGTTGCAAAGATAGTACAAAGAGGATGTGTACACCTTGCATCTAGCTTCCTCTACTGTTAACACCTGACATTGTACTGTGATACATTCATCACAACTAATGAGTACATTACTATTAACTAAAGTCCATCTTTTTTCAGATTTTGAAAGTTTTTACCTAATGTTCCAGGATTCAATTCAGGATACTATATTATAATTAGTCATCATATCTCCTTAAACATTTCTAGACTGAGAATTTCTCAGACTTTTCTTGTTTTAAATTCCTGATAGCAGTCATTGACAAGCATCACCTAGTTAACTGTGTCCCAGGATTCACTCTGCCATGTTATAAACCTGAAAGTCTTGGCCGGGTGTGGTGGCTTACACCTGCAATCCCAGCACTTTGGGAGGCCGAGGCAGGTGGATCACCTGAGGTCGGGAGTTCGAGACCAGCCTGACCAACGTAGAGAAACCCCGTCTCTAAATTAGAAAAAAAAAAAAATTAAACCTGAAAGTCTTTTATCTTCTATGCTGAATTTTCCCTGGACCTGTTTTCCTTGAAGCATTTCTATTTAATACGTTAAACTGTCACTCATCTTATTGAATCTATATGTTTATGTCTTTCTCTGATTTGGGAAATTTTCAGCTATTATTTTAAAAAATATTTTTCAGCCTTAATTTCTTTCCCTTCTCCTCATGGGTGTCCAATGGCATAGATGTTATTGTTTCCTAGGTTCCTGAGTCTCTTTTTATCTTTTTTCTAATCTATTTTCTCTTTGTCATTCATATTTGATCATTTTTGTTTATGTTTACTGAGTATTTCCTGTATCTTCTCCATCTGCTATTGAGTCCCTGTGATGAGTATCAACTTGATTGGATTGAAGGATGCAAAGTATTGGTCCTGGGCATGTCTGTGAGGGTGTTGCCAAAGGAGATTAACATCTGAGTCAGTGGGCTGAGGAAGGCAGACCCACCCTTCATCTCGTGGGCACCATCTAATCAGCTGCCAGTGTGAGCAGGATATAAAGCAGGCAGAAAAATGTGAAAAGGCTAGACTGGCTTAGCCTCCCAGCCTACATCTTTCTCTCATGCTGAGTGCTTCCTGCCCTTAAACATCGGACTCCAAGTTCTTCAGCTTTGGGACTTCGACTGACTTCCTTGCTCCTCAGTTTGCAGACAGCCTATTGTGGGACCTTGTGATGGTGTGAGTTAATACTACTTAACAAAATCTCCTTCATAGATGTGTGTATGTGTGTGTATACATATATATGTATATATATACACATATTTATTTATGCATATATGTGTATATACATGTATACGTATTTATACAAATACATATGTATGTACATATATATGCATTATACACACCTATATATAGGTATATTTGTATATATGTATGTATGTGTATGTGTATAATACAGAATTAAAAGGATATATATATATATCCTATTAATTTTGTCCCTCTAGAGAACTCTGACTAGTACAGTTCCCCCTAGTGAATTTTTTCTTATTTTGGCAAATGTATTTTTCTGTTGTAAGGGGTCCATTTTTTACAATATATTTTATTTTCTGAGGTTTTCTATTTTATTTATTTCAAATGTGTTTCTAAGTGCTTATTTAAGCACATTTATGATAGTTACTTTTAAAATCCTTGTTAGATAATTCCAATAGCTGTGCCATCTTGGTTTTTGCATCTGTTCATTATCTTTGCTCATTCAAATGGAGATTTCCTGGTTCTTGGTGTAATGAGTGGTTTCCAATTATATCCTGACCATTTTGAGTATTATGAGACTTAGATTCATATTCATATC